TCTTTAATCAAACGGAATTTTTATTCAATTGCATATTAACTACGATCTTCTGCTATTGTTCGGCAAATTTCATAATTGTGTCGAAATGAAATTTCTGCGAACTATTCAAGTCCTCGTTTGAAGCCAACTTAAAACCAAAGATCGTTAAGTAGCGAAAATCTCTTAACAATTTCTCCATACACCACATAGAGATAGACACGCTTTTGCTAGTTATTTAGCAATAGAAAGCTTCTCTACATTCTTTAATGATTTGATAATAAATTGTTTGTGGCAATCTGTTTAATACTCTAGATTAGTGTACACAAATATAAAAATAAATTGATTTATCTAACAAATCAACCAACCACATATACAGCCATGGGCCCATAAATAGTACCAACTATTCATTACGAAAATAAACATAAAGGTTAATGAAAAAAAAAAAAAAATAAAAAATAATTTTTGCTTTAAAATATCATTTAAAGGATAATTCATGTTTCCTTATGTGTTTAGTTTTCTAAATTTCTTGTAAAAAAAAAAAAAAAGGCGGGAAAAATTTATTATTGTTGGAATTTTGACATAGGCGAGTACATATTTCAAGATATATACGGTTCGGATTTTCAAAAAACAAAATCAAAGTGTGTCATACGACGAAAACCGCATTTAGACGAGGAGCTGAACAATTTTTTGATAATGTGATTTAAAATCTAGTCCTGAAAAGCCTACAGATCACATATACTGTAGGATTTCGGGAATTTTGAGCACAATTACGGATTACATAAAAATTGTCCTATGTTTTGTCTGGCACTACGACTCATACTTTTGTTTTCGGTTAAGTCTGAGGTATTACTAATACTATTATACTCTCTGTTTATGGTGTTCGCAGATGGATGCATATTTCTGAATATGTGGAACCCTATCGAGTATGTACCTTTAAGCGGTTTTTTTTTTTTTTTTTTTTTTTTTGATGTATTCATATTCTGCTACTTTTCTTTCGAGCATTATTAAATATGGACTAACATCTCAATTTTGCTCGGGGTTTCATCTTACTCATTCCACAAGAAATCCTGAGATAATTTATGCTTGAATAAGATGCGGTTGTTTTCAGCGATTTTCCATTGTTTCACTTGCTCGATGTTCAAGTTGTTTACCACTTGACCTACGCATAACCTTCCATTCGAATAATGCATTTCGCTTAAAACTCTGACTGCACTTTTCTAATAGGGCTTAGGCCACTTTCGCTTGTCTGTATTTATAAGCTGCGAGCTTAACGGAATATTTGAAACAGACACATTGCTTTTTTATTATAAAAGCTGGCAGTCGTTATTTAAGTGCTTGCTTGTTCATATGAAATAATAATAAAAATAACGGCAAGTTGTGTGTTTTCCTGTTTGCTAGGGTTACTTCCTTGGGACGTTATTCTCCAACATTCTTTTTTCCAACCTTAATTCCTTTACGTGCCTGGGTAGCCCAAGTTTACAAAACTTTTTTCTATGTTATTTCCTGTTTTATACTACAATCTATACTATATAATTTATGCATGTACGTATATATATGTATAGTAATAAGGAATTTTCTTTAGTAATAAATGACGTTTTTTTTTTGGGGTTAAATAAAGGCTTTTTAAGCTGCTATAGATTCAAATGAATAAATAAATAAAAATCTTAGTTCCAACGAGACTTCTTTTCAGGGAAATTGTTTTCATAAAAATAGGCGGCGATTTCAATTTGCATAAGTTATAAGACGCGGCACTTTTGTTTGAGAAATCATTGTTTTAGGCAAAAAAAAAAAAATCCGTTTTCATGAATATAAACGTAAATCAACTGATTACGGCCTTTAACAAAATTACGTAATCAATTGGACGCACGTAAGGATCAAAATGTAAACGCGTCTTTATCCGCCTGAGTAGCCGAAGGCGAGGAATCTCGACTAGCAAGTCAATGGTCGTGGGTTCGAATCTCAAGTGCGGTAGAGTTTTTAATAATAAAAGCCGATAGCCTTAGATGCTAGTGCTTTTAAGAGTTTAGTCTTAGAATTTATTTCTCTGGCGAAATTAATAATAATAATAATAATAAACGCGTCTTTGGTTTGCTAAAAATTGCATTCAGAGCTTTTGCCGCTATTTTGATGATCGTATTTAAAACATTGCAAAGTATATAAAAACGGAGAGATAAAGAGAAAGTAGCAATGAAATCAATCCTTTAAATAAATAAATAAATTATTATTAAAATTTTAGCTTAAAATTTCACTCTTTATACGTCCATACCTGTAATTGCGTAGTTGCATTGTTCTGTATAGCATAATTTGTGTCCACTTGTTATGCATATTCAAATAAATTTCAAATGGCGGAAACTTTAATAAATCATAAACCTTCCATGCGCTATGTGATTATTATCACATTCATGGTCGCGTACACTTAATTCATGAATGAACTACATAGTGAATATACGTAATAATGATATTTCTGCTCTTTTTCTCCACGTATTTGCATTTCGAGATGATATGTTCCATATTACGCAGAAAGGCCAATGCCAAGTTCATTGTGCTATCTAAGTAATTGCAAGCATTGCCAATCTTTATAGATATAAGTTTATGTAAATTGATTACATGTGAGTAGCATTATATGTTACATCTGTCTAATGTTTCTTCTCCGAGATATAAATAATTAAACTATTTTCAACGTTTAGCTTGTTGTCATTATTATTGTTATTTTTATTACTCAAGGCTCAAGGGGTGTATTCATTTTATCAAAACGTTTGCTACGCCTAAAAAAAGATTCCCAAAAAGTATATATATATTCTTGATTAGCATCAAATTCTGTGACCATCTTAAGCATGTCCGTCTGTTCGTCTATCCCATTACCCGTCTGTTCCTCTATCCGTTTGTTAAAGGAATAAAAAATTGTTTTTTCGCTCATTGCTAACACTCTGGGACAAATCTACAAACATTTAACCGTATAGTCTATGTGTGATGCTGTAGCACATCTACAAGAATGCGAAAAACCGGCCGCGTCTATTTAATGTAACAGTGTGTCATATATTTTTTATTTTTCAAAATTTTTATAACGCACAGCAGCAAACTTCAAAAAGCCAATAAAGTGTATAAATTTGTGGTCAATTTCAAATTCGGAATGCAACTAAGCATGACCGCCCATTCATCTGTTCATCTGTCCGTCTCCGTAACTGTATAGTATCTGTAGCAAACATTCTTCCGTCAGCGAAAATGATGACACCGGCTAGGAGGAAAATGATCCAAACCGATCAAAAAACACGCCTACAACGCCCGCATTTTTATGTAACAAAAATTGTGAACACTTTTTCTCTCCCTGTTTTTTCCTTGTTACTTACGAAACTCCATTTTTTATGATAAAAATAAAAAAAATCATTCGCGTCCTTCCAAGTATAGAAGAGTACAAAAATGTAGTTCTTTCCCCATCACGGACCACGGATTTATAACGCCCATAAGACCCCACAGAGTATGTATATGCTTGATCAGCATTAAATTCTCAATGCATCTAAGCATGTTCGTTTATTCGTCTGTCCATCTGCTCGTGTGTTAGTCCGTCAAATTGTTCGTGTGACCAATTGTATCTTATCGATGGTACACATTTTCCTGTTTGAAAGAACATATCGCCTACGCATTTTCAAAAGAGTTTGAAAATGGCCCAAGCAGATCAACGGACATGCCTACAATGTCCCCACGTCTATACATCCAAAACTGAGAGCGCATTTGCTTTCTCTGTGTCTTTTGATCGTTGCTCATACACTGCAACAGATACACGATATAAATTTCCACAAAATTATTCTACAAGAATAGCGAAAATCAGTCACGCCCACCCAATATTAAGGAGTACACAAATTATACTTTCCCTGTTCAATCTTTTATAGAATAACTTGTTAGTGGATATAAAAGATTCGGTCGTAACCGAATATTATTATTATTATTTTTATTATTATTATTTTTATTACTATTATTTTTATTATTATTATTGTTAACATTATTATGATTTCGTTTATTATTATCACAGTTACTATGCTATTTTTACTATTATTATTAAATTTATACTTGCTTTAGTCATTTACTTTGTACATCTGCTGTTGTGTGGCCCTCTGTTTTCCTCCCTTTACGTAAACGATTGTTTCTGCGGAATCGCGCATACATCGCATCAGCGTATTTCCATATATTTTAGACGTGTAGTAGTAGATTTACAATTTAATTTATATTTGCCCTATTTGCTACAATTCTTCTATTTGTTCGTATGTGCTATACGCTGCATTGGTTCTTACTTGCATCGCTTTCTTTTTAGTTTTCACATACGTTTGTTACATCGATCTGCATGTACATACAAAGATCCTCTATGTAAAGTTAATTGCGTTTATATTAATGCCTACCGCTGTTACTGTATATCGGGGCGAGTCTGGAATGATCACTATCTCGAAGTATTGATCAGGATATAAAGTATGTGCTGATTTTTTTGTGAAAGTGCTGTAACTTTTTAGTAATTGGCGATATATTTGTGAAAGAATAATGCCCTCAAAGTGAATTTAGGAAATTGATTTAAGAATGTTTAAACCAAATTCCAAGCTTCTAGCTTTAGAATTCGGAAAGCAATCGGGCGACAAAGGAAGCTTGACAAATTAACTCCTGATCGCTGAGCATGGATGCCAACGGCCATGGGTCTTGCTTTCCTACTCTATGCAACATTTGCAAGCGTCTTCCAGCTAAGGGAAGATACGAACTGAACGGTTGAAAATACATTTTCAAATCTTTCTTTAGAACAAGCCTGAACATTTGGTTCCCTCTTATCATTTGCAATGAGAAATGAAATGAATACGCAAGGAATGAAGATTTTCGAAAACATTACTAAACCCAAATAATGATCATTTATTGCCAGGTTCATGAAAGATGTGAAATTGGTTTCTGAAGTCCTTATGAAAGCAAAGACAAATCGACCAACTAACGCGACGTAGGGACATATTCAAATTAAAAACATATTCTTCGAATAAATAGCAGACACTGATCTAATCACAATCTAAACTACTTAGACAAAAGTTCGTTTAATCGGAATTTCGCAAGCATTTATCTGCGAAAACGAACTGTAAAGATTAGATAAAGATATGTCTCTGAAAAGATTTGAATAATTTACATAATAATCTCAACTTATTGACCAAAAAAAAAAAAAAATTAATCAACATTCTATCGTTTTAAGCATCAAACACGGAAATGTTTAGGTCTACCGTTCTAAATTATTTCAGAGTAAGTTAAAAAGGAAAAAATAAAATGGGATTTGACTTTAAGTTGAGTTAATTAAAGAGACATAAGTTTTACATATTTTGCGAATGTGAAATTATTTTAGTCGCCTGCATTGTGGTTTTTGGGTCACATACTATTAGCGAGCAGCGAGTGTAATGAATGCTCGTCCGTAAATAATTTAGCTTGTGTTTCGCAAACGCAATTTCAAGTTTGCGTAAACGGTCTGCCACAGGGTACGGTGACCTCATGTCCTACCGGGTTTGCGTGTTCAACGAGTACGGCGATAATTTGTCAACCTAATCAAGTGGGATTTTCAGCATCGTGCAGCAATTGTAATCAATGTGATGACTCTAAAACATTTGCCTGCACTGGTGTGCGTACCTACGCCTTGTGTCTGGGTAATACATTTCCTTCAGATATAACTGGCAGCTGCGCTCCTTTCCATGTGTGTAACATTAATTATCCACAAATTTGTGGTAATGCTACTACTGGAGTAAGTTACTATTGATTTTCAAAATTTTATCTCTCCTATGTATTACCATTTACATATATATATATGTATATATAAATTTTCTTTATTGCTATTTTGCATACGATTCAGATAAGTCCCACTTGTCCCACTGCCAACGCAGCAACCGAAACTAGCACAGCATCACCAACACAACCAACACCACCAGTATTGCCATTACCTGCACCAAGGCCCACAACGATACCGCCTGGTGTCATAACGAATTATGTTCAATTTTTTTGTCAATCTGTACGCAGTAATACGCGTTTTCCTTTACCACGCGAACTCGATGCTACATGTCGTAGGTAAGAATTTGCGCAAGAAACGCCATTAAAACGATTTCGCTTCTCTTTAAAATTATATTTAATTTTAGGTACATTTATTGTTTTTTAAACAATGGCGTTTGGTCTGGCCAAGTTTACACTTGTCCGGGTAATACCTTCTTTAACCAACCCATGCAACTTTGCAGTAGTCAAAGACCTATAAATTGCTAAATATGCGAAAGCCTTTTCTATAAGAAAATTTGTATAATCAACTAAAAAAAATAAAAAAAATAAAGCAATAAAGAAGTAAATGTGAAGAAATAGAATGAAATTTTCCAAAATGTTTTTTTTCAAATGACTCAGCTGGTGAGTTGCACATATATAGATATTCTTTTTTCTTTTTTTGTTATCGAAGAAAAAGTAAGCTTTTCGGAAATTGTCTCTCATGTTTACACGATGTTACCCTGAAGACTTGCAAATCTGTAAATTTAATCTGCAGATTCTAATTTCAACAAACAGAAATCTTCGAATGCTTGTACGAATTCATAGGTAACTCTCATTATGGTCATTAAAAGAACAAAAAAAAAATTATAATAATAATTATAACAATACAAACGTTCCCATCTGACTTCTAGGCCATGACTTGGCCAAGGCTTGCGATGATTTCTTTCAAATACGCGTTTTTGTTCAATTCAATTGGGAGGTTTAGGATTTTCCCAAGGCCATCTAGTCGAGCAGTGAAAATGAGACTGAAACTGTATTCTACCTAGGACAGCCTTGGTAAGTGCATAAATTTTAGTGAAACTCTTATCTAAAATAACTTTAATTTCCAACTTTAACGGTAGACTTACCGAACGTGTCAAATTAATATATTTTATTATCGAAAAGTAAAAAGGTGCTTACATAAGCATACTTCTGTCTTCAATACATGCTTCTGTCAAAGTACGCAATTGTTGATCAAGTTAACAGCATCACAGAAACGTTACAATAGCTATTAAAAAAAGACGATACAACTCCGAAATACTTTCATTAATAACATGGCATGCCTTGAAGACAGTTCCGAAAAAATTCTTAGGCAAATATTTACCAAGAACATCTAATTATTTAGTCCCACAATTATTGCGAACGGCCTCCTGACTTGTCTAAATGTCATTTGTATTTATTAAATAACTTTTTTAATACAATCCCTAGTTGAAGCTCTCTACGTAACAAAATTTTTTAGAAGAATTACTTACTACTACTTAGAGTTCATAGCGCTTTTCTCAATTGATTTAGAGTCACGTAACCTTGATAGTACTGAGTCTGTCAAGGCGTACTATAGCGCCTGTGACACGATATAGTTGACTAACAACTAAAAGAAAAATTAATTGAACCGTCTACCTCAAAATTTATCCATATCTTTTCTTATCCGTCCATTTCCTCATACTACTGGAAGTATGTGTGAAACGAGTTTCGTTTATATAGAAATTATGACCCTTTGTCGCTACTAAATCAACATCACTAACAAAGAGCCCAGTACATCATACGATATCCTGTACAAGTTGCTCCTTATTAAAGATTCTACGGACAAAAATCATTCAAGTTCTTATCCCTATCCCTGCCCCTTTCGCAGACAATGAACATTTGAAATATTATAGACTTGCGCTCAGACAGACAACAGGTGAACAAATAACTGCTATGAGGATGTTCGTAGGTCCGTGCGTGCTATACACGTAACACATTAGTGTACCTTGCCCGGTATTATGTCAGAATAAGAAATGATATATAAACTTATGTTATGGCCTTGCTACAGTCATAATTGTTATGTGTAAACACAAAATTTCACTTAAATCAGTTTCGGAAGTTAACTCATTTCTCCTACAAAGGCATGTATGCGTCTTGCATAAATAGTATTATTTAACCATTGCAACGACCGAATCTATCAATGGGCATTAGTTTTTTCCATTTAACAAATCTTCTTCACGTTAACATGAGAATGTCGTGTGGAAAGCAAAACTCACCTTTTGACAGTATATACGAAAGTGTCACATCATCGAACGAACGGACTCGCAAACACAACAGACACTGTTGTCTATTGAAATACGTAGAAACTAGAATCAGCAAGATTTCCTGAATACGATGGGGAGGGGGGTTAGGCAAGGTAGTATAATAGTTGAACGCGAGGAAGAAAATACCTTTCATACTAATTTTAACATGTTGTGCTCCCTCGGGGATGCTCTGACATAAAGTTCCTATAGCATCATTTAGTCAGCTGCGGTATTAGTTAAGCTTTTCCTTGAAAATCGTTCATATGCATTAAATAACAGAATATCTACGTTTTTGTACTTTCGCTTAATAAAGTTGTCAAATGGCATCGTCTTGTTGCGAGTATAACAATATTTTATAAGTATATCGTAATTGAAAACGATTTCGCGACTTATTATTTAGTTGTGCTATGGCTTTAAGACCTGCTAGTCCAGATATACGCTTCCAAGAAGAAGAAACCGCTCCCTGGTGACGTGAATATCTTACTTATGTTAGTTAGGTTTACGAGTACTTTTATCTGCGCCTCAGGTCGAGAATCTTTCTGTGATATGCCAACGAACCATGGACTATAGAAATGATCAACTAGCCATTAGAAGTATTCGGCAAGACACGGTCAAGCAATAAGACGTGAAGTGACATGATCTAAACGTAATAAAAAGTTAATTTTCTTGCTTTGCTTATCTTTGCCAAGTAAAGTTTGCTGCCGTGCAAAGCTTTAATCTGCATGAGACCCCTTATATGAAGTAGCCCCTAAAAAAAATATACCTTCGTACGTTTAACCGGTTTTTACTATAAAATACTAAAAGTTTGACATTGTTGTCAACAAAAGTTTAATTTTTCTAAGGTCTTGTATTGAAACGATGCAAAAAATGGACCTATCCGATCTATGTTTTTCAAATAAATTTCCGGACGGACGGACAACTATTATAGGGTTCAGTCAAAGCATCGTTTTTAACAATATTTTTGCTTTTTTTTTTTTTTGTTATCTATGTACCTACACGCAACAACAATGGGGGAAGGGTTTCAAAATCTAAACTCATTACGCCACGCGAACCACCATTGAATGCTTAAAAATATATTTGCATTTTTTTCTCAATTTTCTAAACTAACATAACAAATCTGCAATAATTCGACTCTTTGCCAGCACGAGTCGGAAGACTTTGTGTGAGTTTGTTCAAATTCAACCAAGTAAACTTGGATTTTGTTGCTGTTTGCTGAGAAATACTTTCTATTTCGCGATATAAACTCGGACAACTCGTTACAAAAATCCTCTATAAGGAACAATTAAATCTTTTTACTTTGAATTACTTTCAAACTTGACATGGATTGGTAGCAGAGAGCCATTCATTAAAAGGTTATAAATGTCATTAAAATTGCGCGTAATGGTCGCAGACGCATAACGCCACCTTTTAGAAAGCCGTTGAAAACTTATTTACACACCTAATGTTATGCTTCAAAATGAAAATTATTGTTTGCTTGCATATACGCTTGCTGTTAGGCTGTATAATTTAAATTTGTTCTAGCAGATGAGTGTTCGCATGCTTCCGGACTTGGCTTTTAGCTAGAGAACAATAGACAGCAACAATAATAGTAGACAGCGGGCATAGATAGATGGAGGCGATAGAGTGTGTATGCGCGTATAAGTGTAACTTGCCCTTATGGTGTACAACTCATAAGCATCAGGAAGTTGTTAAAGCAGCACTTGCATACCCGTACACACACATACAATAAAATCGTGATGAAAAAATTCAACAACGCAATGACAAAAACAACAATAATAAAATGAAATGCCAAAAATTGTATTCAGCATGTGCCGCATAACTGTTTCTATATAGTTCCGCTTAATAAGGTTCAAGAAACCTTATTACAGGCTCTGGGAGTGAGACCATTCTGTCAATTCTGCCCCTCTTGCATGCCTTTGCTAATCTTGTTGCGTGGCGTCTCTGCGAAATAATGTTCAACATAATGTGCGCTTAGCTGAAAAAGGATTTTTATCCGTTATCCGTTATCCGTTAACAAATAGAAATTTGAAAAAATACTAAAAAATTCAAGCACTTACAGTATTTTTATTAAGAATAAATGTTTTCTGCCACCACCAGCAACTAGCGTAGCGGAGAGTCACTAACATGATGCACCATTTCCTTGCGATAATTACGTATTTAGATTTCAGGAAGAGTTCATATATGTTACCACAATTTTTGTACTTTTTTGTTTTTTTTTTTCTTCTTTCGTTAACTAAATAAAAATTTGTGCTGCCGAAATGTGTCGCTAACCATCAAAAAAAAAAAAAAAAAAAAAAAAAAAAAGTAGAAGAAGAAGAAAAATAATACATTTACTGTTTTCGTTCGGCTAACACTTGTCTAATAATATGGCACACAAGTGCTGTTCATTCTTATTACAGTTTATACAACGCCATCACCGCCAACACACATTGACTAATTTGAGTAATCTATAGCAGCGCATTTCAAGCTCAACTAATTGTTTACAACATTTAGATGCCATCGTAGCGAACGCCTGCGCATACGGCATTATATGCGACTTAAAAACGAAAATGAAAACGAAAATAAAGAAATTTTTACGCTTTTTTACTCAAGTTATAATTACCGCTGTCTGTTGTTAGTTGAGTTAGCTGAACGGTCATTAAACCCTACACATTCATCGAGACACGCATTTGTGTCCTATTATATGCGATTTTCTTTTCTCATTTCTGTCACATTTCGTATAAATATAAATTTATTCAGTTGCAGTTGTCATCTGCTGTTTAATAGTTTGATCTTTATTAAGTTATGACGTACGGCGTCAAGTTTACGGCAGCGCATTAAATTTTCGTTATAAGTTTTATTGGACATTTCCATATCCGTATGGAATGCATATATTAAATATATACATATATACATATTTATATATATATATATATATATATATATATAGATGTATATGCACAATAGGGTAAAAAAATGTTCATAGTGGCGTGTCATCAGTTGGTGCTTTTCGATTTAATCGTCTTGTTCAGTTTGGCGGCCATCAACTCATCAAAAGTTGAAAGCTCTTCATGGAAAGATTTTTTCTTCGGTAATGGCTGGAAGTCGTTCTCATCCAACCGTGATGCCAGAAGTACGTCGTTTATAAATTCTTCTTTGTTTTTTTTTTTTTTTTTAAATTTTAATTCTTCTAGACAGCATTTAATACAAGTTATCGACTGGGCGACGACATGGTTAATAAAAATATTTATATTTCTTTTTTAGCATTTTCTATAAAATTTTGCTTAATTTTAATTATTGTTTATTTTTTATTTTTATATTTTTAATTCCATTTTTTTTTTTTTTTTTTCATTTAAAATTTATTTCTCAATTTTAATATCTTTCTTTTTTTATACATTCATTTTGTCAAAACGTTTGTGACGCCTAGCAGGAAGCTCCCCAGCTACCCAGCTTCCCCCCACCCTCACGATATACATATATTCGCGGTCAATATTTAATAGTTAAGGGATTTCGAAGCCGAAGCATGTCCCTCTGTTCATATGTTCATATGTCTGTGTAATGTCCGCTGTAAACATACTTCTGGCCTCAAAAGTGAAGCTATCGATTTGAAGTTCGGCAGAAACACTGAAGATACTTGCGCGTCGGCGGGAACTGAAAATGTGCCAAATCGCTCGAAGGTCACTCCTACCCTGTTTCTCAGAATGAATAGGAACTAATACAAACTACAGCATATAAAATTACGAAAATGTGAAAGCGTGCTCTATAGGCGATGCTGTAGCACCTGTGTAAAAAGTGTGGAAAGCTAATCACGCCTACTCAATTTTATATAGGGTATAAAAACAGAAAGAAGCTTCAAATAATCTCGAATGCACTTAGGCATATCCGTCTGTCCGTCTCTCCCGTTAGTGGAAATGATGATAACGGCTACGAATTTGCAAAAACAATTTGAAATCGATCAAATGATACACGCCTACATCATCCACTGTGGGCACTTTTGCTTTCCGTATTATTTGCTTGTTACTCATACACTACAAGCGAAACACGATAAAAATTTCGACTTTTATTCTCAAAAATAGAAATTGTCGGTCACGGTCATCTATATGTTACGGGCTATAAAAATTTAGTTTTTTCTTTCTTACGATGAAGGTGATGGGTATGAAAGATTTGGTCGCGACCGAATATACTTTTCTTACTTCTTATTTATTACTTCTTCATTGTTGTTTTTTTTTTTTTTTTTTTTTCATTTTAATATTTAAACCAACCTGACATTTAACTATATATGCTGTAGATTTTTGACTTTTCAAGCGGACAACATGTCAAGACCAACATAAAGAAAACCCACCGAATATATTATGGAAGCAATTTTCAATCAAAGTATTTTGCGTTCTCAATTATATCCTCGTTTGAAATCTAACTAAGAGTTTTTTTGTACATTTATTGTTAAAATTTACTTAAAGAAATTTCTTTATTCTTAAGAGTTTTTAAAAATTTTCAGTTTTACCAATTTTTACACTAATACCCGTTGGGTTAACGTTATGCTCGGCACCTTCTGGTGAATATGGAAACTGTTTGCCCAGCAAAGATTGTGCTTTAAGACGTGGTATACCGGCTGGCCCCTGTGGTGGAGGTTATGGTCTGTGTTGTGTTTGTAAGTTTTTTTTTTTTTTTTTTTATTACAACAAAAGCAGAAAAATTTATTGCTTTTGTTGCTGTTGTTGTTGGTCATTTTATAAAAATATCTAATTATTTTACAATTTCAGTTTTGCAAACTTGCGGTGGTATAGTTAGGGAAAACTCCACATATTTTGTTAATCCAAATCATCCGGACACTTATGATGGTACCGGCAGTTGTCAGGTTACGGTACAAAAATTGCATCCTGACATTTGTCAACTAAGGTAAAATGCGATAAAGTAATTTGAAATTCTCAACCAGTTCAGAAGTCTTCAAATGTGCCAAATTTTCCGTTTAGGCTGGATTTAGATATGTTTTCTATAGCTCAACCCGAGTCCACAAATCATTTATGCACACAAGATCAATTATTAATATCGGGAAGTAGTCCTGTGCCGACGATATGCGGTTCTTCTTCAGGAGATCACAGTATATTTAAAACTTTACTTTCCTATTCCATTTCCCCTTTACGTAATAATTTTAAATTTGTTTAGTGTACGTCGACGCTGGTTTGGGTCAAAGCAATCCTATAGTTATTTCGATAATAACCAGCGGCACTTTTCCGCGAATATGGCGCATACGTGTCACTCAAATTCATTGTGGCAGCATTAATAGAGCCGATCAAGGTTGCCTGCAGTATTACACCAATATAAGTGGTCGTGTAAAAAGTTTCAATTTTAATACAGTTTCCGGTCGCCAACTATCCAATCAGGATTATAGTGTTTGCATTAGAACAGAAAGAAATTTTTGTGGCATACAATATAACGCTTGTCCGGATTTAGGTAATCGTTCATATATATTATTTGGTTTAAGTTATTACGTATGCTTGATATGAACAGAAAATAATCCGCCGCGATCTTTTACAATATCGGGCAACTCGAATGAAGAGGTCGGCACAATGGTAGGCGGAGGCACACAAATGATCGAAGATGCGTGCATACAAGACTGGCTATTGGTCGGTTGCATGCGTTCAGCTGACCGCATACCACCGATTAGCGCTTGTGAGGATCGCGTGTGTGGCGGTATATTTAGTGCTGAAGTAGGCATGGTACAGAAGACTGTGCAAAGTAAGTTCTTTATTATATGCATACACGCATACATTTAAAGGTACACAAATACCCAGACACAAACACATGCGAGCATGCGCGCACGCATATATACAGCGACTTAAGGAAGCGTCGAACGCCGTCAATTGCATTGCCGTTATCCTCGCTGGCGTGCGTAAAAGTATAGCTAGACGGCTGGCAGGGCTAGACTTGGCTAACCATAAAACAGATGTGTTACTAATAAGCAGACGAAAAATTGTCGAAATTATACAAAGCACATTAAAGGACTTGGAAAGGCTTTCGCGGCACTATTGATAATCTGCTAAGCTTCAAATGGCATGTCCAATATGCGGTAGACAAAGCGGCCCAGAATCAATTGAATTATGTGAAGTATTAGAGATCCTAGAACCGTTCTAACTATAGTTATATCCACTGTAGTAATATCGGTAATACTATGAGCAAGTCGAGTGTGACTTATACTTAACGCACTTATGTAGATATGCGACGCGGCCTTAGTAAATTCAGAAGCGATATAGAGTGAAAGACAGACGAACGTTTCAGTTCATCCCCAAGTTATCACGATAGAGAGAAAAATGGCATGATGACGTAACATATCATATCCCGCAATTTTTGGCTGGTTACAGTTACATCCAGTATGGCCGAACAGTACGCACAAAAAGAAGGACGCTGAGCGTGCTCTATTCCACTGTAAAAGATATGCGGCTTATGGTCGGTCGGATGGGCACGAGATGGACAGCTCTGTGATGAAAATGTTTCAAAAGTTACGACAGCTAGAGGGACTGAAACTAAAACGGAGAGTGGACGAGAAGAGGAAGAGACAATGCGAGCCATAATAAGAGGAACCATTAGGATTGTATCAGTCGTAGCGCATTAACTGCAACCAGCCTCCACGTGGCAGTACCTAACAATAGTCTAGGGTAGACAAAGTTGGCGCTACGATTGCCGAATCATGCGTACCACCGCTACGGGCCAGAAGTATTTCGTTTCCATAGAAAAACAAAAGCACATCCACACACACATATCTATATATATATATATATATATTTTTACCGCACATTATTTCCAGGCAGCGTTAGACCATTTCGTTTATATTTTCACACCGACGGAATTGAAGCGCCCACAGATGTCGACAATCGTGGCTTTTGCCTAGACTTTGTGCAGCAGCCTTGCACGAATGGTTTTTGAAGCCTTTAATGTAAAATTAAAAACAATCCATTCGTTTGCCTTTTTAATTAATATTAAACTTTATTATCATGATTTAATTAATTATCAACAAACGAACAGTCCCTAAATTTTTTAGATTCTCACTGTTCATTTTTCATTTTTTATATTTCCTTTACTTTATATAAATTTATTATATTATACATTTGGTTTAAATAACTTTTTCTTTCTTTTTTTTTTTTTTTTTTTTTTTTTTTTTGTTTAATTAGAGTTAAAGAGATGTGAACTGATTAACGAAACGAAATATATAGAAATTGCTAATAGGACTTTAAAGAAGTATTAAAGGAGAAAATCATGAAAATTAGTTTAAAAAATGTTACTTAGTAAAAAGTTATAAAAACAAGTTATCATATATATATATATATATATGATTTTTCGAAAGCGTAAAATTATGTGAAATTCTTAATTTTTAATATTTAGATTCGTTGTTTAAACATGGTATAAAAAACTTGGCGGAGAGACGATGAAATGTGGAGAGGGAATTACACACTCTTCGAGTTTCATTTCATAGGCTCTCCCCGTTTCATAAGCTTATTAAAATTGTGAAAAAAGAAAAAAAAAAAAAAAGTTTTTTTTTAATTTTTTTGTTTTAATTTTTAATAAATTTTCAAAGAGTTATTATCAAAATTTAGAATTTTAGATAAAGGCTTCATTCATGCTCTTTCGCATAAATCTTCATATTCCCATTTTGGAACTGTAGAGATCTTGTTTAATTGTATAAAAAATCACTTGTAATCAATATTCGTCTGATTATTTCGATTTTTTTTCGCATCATCCTTAACAGACACGTGGTATTAAAAATAAAATAAAACATTTCTGCTAAATATATTAATCCTTGTGTTGTTGCCAGGATAAAGTAACTTTAATATGTTTGTATTAAGGCTGCCACATGTTGTTTTTCCTCCTCAGTTAAGCCGTTCTTCAAGGTACGACGCACTGCAAATACGAAGAAATGAAACAAACACATGCTAATATTTATTCATGGTCAAAGAGTAGAAATTTCTTTTAAGATTCATGCTCTTTTAATTTTTTATAAAATATTTAATCGAAAATATATATATATATATATATATATATATATATATATATTCATAGAATCATGCAGAATTGCGATCGGGTGCAAAATGATTAGAAGTTTTACTAAGCAAAACTCAACAAAATGTAATTGCGTTCCTTACTTATCAAACATTCAAATCTGAAAATTAAATATCCATTACATAAAAATCCTTCCAAAACGATCCGAACGCAACTTCTATATTTCAGGAACAAAGGACAAGGTAATGGACAAGGTAATACATTAATATGCCTGTTTACTGTATAGCAATATGCAATGGTAGGCTTCATGGACAGACCCTATAGGCGAGGTGTGGGCAATTTTTGTCATCAACGGACCAATTTTAATTTTTATATCACAGCCAAGGCCAGAACCAACTATCATTAAAAATGCAATATTCGGTATCTTTTTGCCTTAGAACACTTAAGCCTATTTCACATTTACGAGCTGCACACCTGGCCCGATAGTGGACGCAGATACAATCCATTTGCGGTCGGCGATCGTCCATGCCTGCTCTACTAAATGTATCCGTTTCTATCTATTATTTCTTCTTCATGCTCTCACATATTTTGTTATAAACTGCAAAAACTGAACAAACTGATGAAAAGTGAAAAAATTCAATATATTCTTAACCGGCAGCTTGCGACCTGTCTAAAAATTTGCAAATGAAAATATCTCTGATCGAATCAGTGGCGTGCACACAATTATAAAGGTTGTGTGAAGATGGTTTGACTTTGAACCCCAGACACTCGGTATTGATATCCCTAAACGTTGAAACGTTGGCGCTAAAATTATTTCTTTGATTCCTTAAACAACATATACTAACAACTTTGGTATTGATTGCTATTCTAATAAAATTATCTTCAAAGTTTGCAAAAAGAACGTAACCGTGGTGATCGGCATTTATGTGAAATTCGTTTAAATACGTTTAAAAAAAAAATTCAAGTCAAACTTCTATTGTGAAGGCTTGTTTTCCCGACTTCCAAATAATTCTCTCCTTTTTCTTTATTACTTCCTTAATAGCTTTGTATGTGGAAAAGTACTGAAAAAACTGATCTACACGACTCATTGAATAGTTAACTAGATTTGAATGTTTGCGATTTGACTTAAAAGTACGTTAAGCGGTATTTAAAAAGCAAAAATCAATCGAAATCTGAACGTTTTCTCAGAGTAAAGCCATCAGAAACAAGCAAAACTCTTTACGTTGCTTAAAGCATGCAAATGTTATTTATTATCTGCAAAGATATTATAAATTGTAACAAATTCAGGCAAAGGAAAAAAAAAAAAAACAAAAAAAAAAAAAACATATAAGTAAACTAACCCTGAAATCACACTAACAATTTAAGGCGATGGAGCCTTGTCAACTGTAAATCCTTCGCGGGTACGCGAACGCTTCACTTCAGGTAATTTTACATTTGCATAGTTTTTTTGTCATCGATTTCGGTGTTAATTTTGAACATTTTAAACGATATTAAAAATAACATTAACGATAGCGTATGAGAATTTAGTAAATTAAACCGTTTAAAATCCATTTTGAAAAAGGACGAATAATAAGAAAGAAGTTCAACACAAAGTGAGCCAGAAAGAAAAGAAAGGTTAAAGAAAAATTAAACAAAAAGAAAGCTATGTTAATAAAAAAAAAAATAAATAAATAAATAAATAAACAAATAAATAAATAAATAAAAATTCTAATTTATAAGAGATTTTGTTTAATAAATAAGCTTAAAAATTTAACCTTATTCTGAAAGTGTTTATGTATCAATAATTTGAACGGAACGTATTGTTGTAGTAACTATAAAAACCTAATGTGTATAAAAAACGAATATAAAAACACAAAAAATAAAATATATAAAAATAATTACATATCAAATTTCAATTCCTTAATTTCTTTACTTGATACTAAAAGAATTAAAAATAAAAAGAGGCTGGGCTCGAAGAAAATCAAACCAAACCGAACCAAATCCTGATTCCGACTTACATGATTTCCTGTCAGCGTGGCGGGTACGCTTACGTTCTCTAGGCGTTGTACGGCTACCAGGCGCTTTGGTCGCTGTCTTCACTAAAGACTCTAAGATCTCATCGTCGCCGTCCGTAAAATTCTCCTCACTTTGCCTATTAATAGGAGATTTTAAAGCTTCCGCTCTCCTACGTCGCCACGTGAGAGTGCCATCGGCCGTATCTGAGCTAGGAGTACCCAAGAGTTCTCTGAAAATTTTTAGAAATTTTTCTCATTAGAACTATCCAAGAATTCTTAAATATTGCGCTACATAAAAATTTATTACTTTGACAGCATACACATTCGACAAACAAGTAAGTTGTGTGGCGTTTTAGCCGAAACTATCTATTCATTGCTCTGTATCCTATAATACACACCCACACACATAATACGATACGATAAGGTCTCTTATAAGAACAGTATTGATCGGAGCGAACAAGGGAATCGATTAAGATGTTTCTGTCCTTCCGTCTTTCTGTGTCTTTGCTGTTGTCCGGTCCTACGCATCATATCACAACTAGTATTGCAACTCCTTCAAGAAGAATCTCAAAATATTTCTTATTACAATGGCACTGCTTACAATTTCCAAAAAAATAGTTCCGCGTAATCTATGCGTTAATAATAATTGAAAATTTTTAATTTCTCTCTTTTTCTCTCTCTCTCTCTCTCTCTGTCTCTGCACTCTATTTCGTAGATCGCTTTTCTGAAAATTTTCTTTCTTCATACTGTGTTGCCATTGTAATTAAATGGGTGGGCAAATTTTAGCACGATCGGTACCGGCAAGCGTTTTAAATATAAATTTTTTTTTTTTTGTCATTGTAACTAAAGGTGTAACATAGGCGTCGACTGAATGTTTACCGCAACTTGGTATATTGCTTGCAACAATTAATTACCAAAACAAAGAGAAAAATTTAAGCTTAATTTATATAGAAAGAAATATTATTTGGAATGTGCCCGATGTGCGGTACACACTGCGATATTGAGATATTGATGTGGATTGGATGGATTTGTCGATGAATTTTGCTTCTAAATATCGTACAATCGCTAGCGATGGATATTGAGAAACCTGACTTGGGCACATCCTTCAAGTAACCAGTAATCACAGAACTTGCAGCATTTAATAGATTTTAGATGAATAAATAAAGAGATAGATAGGTAGATAGGTCTTGATCTCCTTTAAAGTAAACATATTTTTGACAAGTGTAAATAATATTATCAATTCATACCCATATGTAATCACTAAGAGAATAAATTCGATCTAAAATTTTTTCTTCGCTCTTTCGTCACGTTAAAAAAGATCTGATAGTTTCTGCTTATTTTACAACCTCAAAAATTTAACGACAATAATTGAATGTAGTCGACGCAATTTCAACAACAATTATCCAGAAAAATCGTATGTAACGAAAAATCGGTATATAACTAGCGTGGAGTTTGCCTACGGTAGACAGCCTGCAATTTTGCCTTTGCTAAAAGGTTGATTATATTCAAATTCGTTTGCGCCTTACTAAGGTCGTTGATAACTGAATGACATTGGAAGTCCAAATTATGCGTTATGTTATGTTTACTGTTACTATGTACCATGGAGATCAATTAGAACATAGAAGGTAGATTAGTAGTAAAAAATGTCCGAGCAAAATAAAGTCAGTCCGGATTTCTGATGAATGGGGTCGTAAAAGATGTTAAAAGTTATCCGAAAAACTAAATTTTATTTTAGGCCCACCCTTGCGTTGCTACCAACAACAACTGCAACAAGTATTCCCCCACCCGTATAAGTAAGACAACATATTAATTCTTTGAAGTCTTTTATGCTTAATTTGTCATCTTACATATATGAAGGATGGTACATATGGGAATTTCTAAGGCCAATGCAATGGCAAAACATCTTTCTGATAGCTATTAAAATGCTTTGAGGCATATCATGAATCCGCTGTGTCTCGATTTCTTTGAAATATTTTATAATGCGGTTTGTACATTGAACTCTTTCATGCGCGGTATAGGATGGTTAGTAGCATTAAATTAGTTTGTTCGTTTTGCAATCAGAATCTTATTTCCATGTTGAGGTTTGCTACAATTTTTTCATTTTTATGATTAAGCTTTCCTTTCGTTATACCGCTCGGTTCAAAATCACTTTTTGATTCGATCTTAGCTTGTATACCCGTCTGTTCCGCTTGCTTTCTTGTGTTTAACCTAAAGGCTGCAATTTTTGAGATGACATTTTGTACACCGACATGGTCTGGCCCAAGGACGAAAGCTGTTGAAAATGGTTCAATCCCTTCCCTTATCTTATTTGTCTTGAATATTTTACAATGGACCGTCGCCCACTCCAATGGCCTCACTTGTTTTTTCGAGCTAGGCTGTCTATCATAACTTAGTAAAGACCCAAACCTCAACATCATATATATATATGTATATATATATATATATACATTTTTTCTCTTTTAATTTTTACATATATAAAAATATGACTTAACAGAATCGAGAGTCTTGGACGCTAGTGACCATATTTCTTTAGCCCTAAAGTTTATTTCTTTGGCTTCAATGAATTATAATAATAGAAATTTTTAAATGTTATGCGGACCTGCGCCCTGGCTTGCTGTATATACAATACATAGTTAAGCTTTATGCACGCAGCTTAGGCATTGATGGATGTTAAAATAATTTAGTAGAAAGTTAATGTTATTTGTTTTTTTTTTTTTTTTTTTTGTAAACATACTTAAGTTCAGCGTCTTGTTTGTCTTCTTTGGTTTTGAATTTCGTTATATCAACAATCAGTTTGCCTCTGGTCTTATTTCTCTCGCGATGATTAGCTTTTTTTTCTAATTGCTGTTGTACGCGCTCGCGCGTAGTACGATATTCTAAAGCGAATTCCGAAACAATTCGACAAAACTCATTCGGTTTTGATTCAGCCACACTATGTTGCGGTACTCCCAGCCATAAGAGAAATTTGCGATATCTATGTATTCGAAAATTATTAATGAATGGATTATTAAATAAATGATTGAATTGATATATCGCACCTGTTCATAACTCTACGATGTACAATTTGTAGTAAGATTATCCTTTCAGCACAATCCGCTAAAAAGTCTACCAATTTTTGTTTCAACTGCGGCGGACAATCATGCTTCGCTATCAGCTTCAAACGGTCCCACGACGATTTACATTCATGTTCCATTTGGCTTAAATTGTAAGCTAATTCAGTAAAATCGGCTTTAGAGGCACGTGTAGCCGGACCAATCTCTGAATATAAATCTGTGGTCTCAGCACATGATTCCATAACCATATGACACAGATGATGCAATAATGAATGCTTATGTACGGTGTCCTTAACTTCAGGCACCTAAAGCATAATACAAAAAATTAATGCATAAAAAAGACGGATGGTCAAAAAAAAGACATGTATGGAGAGGGAGAGAGAGAGAGAGAGAGAGAGAGAGAGAGAGAGAAAGCAAAAGGGCTATTCTTTGTAAATTTACTAAAATACCTTAGCCAAGTATTCGATTTGGAATCCCTTAACGGCAGCACCATTCAAAAATATACCCACCGACAATAAAGTGGAGAGTATGCATTTGAAGGTGCGATTATGGCGTAAGATTTCAATGCCATGTTTCAAGTCCATCAAAGGTTCAGCGATCTCTTTCTATGCACAATAAAAAAAAACAAACGCATTACTTAATATTTGAAAAGTTGACATAAATTCCTTTACTCTTACCTCATTGTTATCAAAGTCTAAACGGAATGCCCATAACTTCAATCGAGCTGCCAGCTCCGATATAGAAGCTAAAGTCAAAAGGAATTGTTCAGCACTACCCAAAGGTAGTTCAGGATTAGCCATCTAAAAAAAGCAACAAAAACAAAAAGCGACAAATTAAGTGCAGTTAAGTTAAGTTAAGTTAAGCCGTAATCACAAGGCATTGTTCATATTCAGCACAATTTTCACAAAAGCTATTTTATATCATTTATTGGTCCCCACCACATTTGCAAGCTAAAATAAAGTAATTGTTGTTACACCTCCGTTCCGATTGACCAAAGCCGAATTTACGAAATCTTGTAGCGAAAATTACTATCTATTTTAACCTAACGTTGTAATCAAAATTTTCTCTCCTCATGAAAGAATAATTTTAATGGAAGCAAAAAGCGGTAGTATGATGAACTATGGATGCCCTTAGCTGAATATGACCGAATATTTGATTTAGTAAATAAAACGTAGATAGCGTTATTAGCGAACGTAAACGTTAAAAATTTAACCCAAGATGAATTTAAATTGGTTTGTGTACTCGCTTATTACCTGTGCTTCTTGTATCTTTCCTCGTTCCTCGTCAGTGGGTAACATATTTAACAACTTGTCAATGCCTTCTCTGGTCACCACAGTAGGATCCATTTTTAAAATGGCAGCTTTTATTGCCCTGGGCGGTGGTAACTTAGTCATGGCTATATTAATGGCATTTGAACGTTTATGATCGAGTACAATAATCTCTTTACTCTTATTCATTTCTTGTTGTTTCTGCAAAAAAAATAACCGTAACTTATTAAAACATTAATAATTCAATGAAAATAAAAAAGAAAAAAAAAAATAGAGAAGATATGCTTGGGACAAAGTAATTTGGTGTTAGTAAGGAGCAAATGAAAAATTAAAGGTTTCTTTTTTACTTTTGTGAACACAATACGCATCTCCACAACCAAGAGCTTTTCGAAAATTTTGAAAAGTGTACTTGTACGATTTAATAGAACCGGTGTTCCCATCATAAATAACGCATAAACACTTAACCCTAATCCATGCACATTGAGCCTTTGTATTAACAGAAAGGCACTAATCGATCCAGAATTTGGAACAGAAATGCGTTGAGAAATCGTGCATACCACGCGCCACGAACTGAACCAAAGCTTATGCAGAATTTTAATATCTATACAGCGTCGATTGTAAACATTACCCTGGCGTCTTCAAAATTTAGTGAAAACATAGCAAAATCTTCCCCGTCGGTTGATATTTCAAAGTCGGCAAAATCGGTCGAAGGGCACGCTTACAGAGCAGCCTAAACCGAGAATCGGTTTCACGGGCACACACATATATTCTACAAAAATTGGAAATAATCAGCCACGCCCATCCAATATTAAGGATGTGGAAATTTAATGCGTTTCTTTTTGTTTTAGCCCCTTGTTCAGAACCCAGACAGACGGTGAATATAAAAGATTCGATTACAGCCGAATATAATTTTCTTTTTTTTATTTTGAAAATATTTTTATTAGAAATCAAGAAATATAAGGTCTTTGTTTAATATCTCAGCTTGTTTGTATCAATAAATGAATGTAAACCACATAGATAACTAAGTTCTTGTCCAAGATATGGGTGCTCCTCTCTGATTGTGAGCATGTAAGGCCTATCAAGTTAAGATTGATTGTAACAACTCGTGCACGGATTAGGGTTACAGATGTTTAGGGTAAGTGAAGAAATGAGCATAAAGTTAATCGCGCTCCGTTGACAAAGCGAAGCCTGGAATTGTTAAAACTCCTTCATTAATTAACGGCGCAATTATTAAAGGGGATATCATTAGATCATGCTACAAATGCATTTAGTTTCACATTTTCTGCTTAGATGCAATGGTCAAATTTATAAAAATTTTGAACGATCTCTGACATAATTTTTTTCATCAATATCTTACTAGGATAATAAAATCGATAAATTTATTACAATAATTTTTATTTAATTGATATAAAAGTGAACAAGTAGCGAAGACTTATATGGACGATCGTTTTCTTTTTGTTTTTTGTGAAATGAGTGAATGTAAGTTTCCCGTGAAATCATAATCAAAGGTAGGCATAAGAATGTGATAAGATTTCATTAAGTAACTTGTGAAACATACTGATTTATATATACATTTAGAGTTAACACGCTGGCAGTGTTGCAACATTAGCGATTTCCTTCGAGACCAAGTGCAAGTGTAAGTACAAGGAGTAAATGTGTGTAGCTTAATCTCATAGCTCCATTACAAACTGCATATACGTATATAAAACATACAATAATAGTTGATTTAATGAAATTTTTTGATGGAAACGTTCTGGCTGCGTGAACGAATGCGTATTGTTTCATGGTGACTAAAAATAATTTTTGTAAGACAAGTTAAGTAAATTAAGTACATAGTAATATAGTTGAAAACGTATCCGCCATGCTTTATAAAATTAAATAATTTACGAATTTTTTTTTCTTTTTTTTTGCATTTACATTTGAGTGTGTGTACCAAATACATGTGTTTGCAAAATAGCCATAATTTATTGGAAAAAGAACCATTGAAGTGAGAAACCAGAGGACACATCATTGAACAATGGTTAATTACAAGGCCAATAACACGAAAACGAATGAGTGCACAATATCACACAAATCTACAAACATAAACAATGTTTAAAGAGGTGTGCATGTAGTTGTGTGTGTATATATGTTTAAATAATTAATTAATTAATGGAGTGGGATACACTGTTGTGCATATCTCTTAATTGTGTATGAGTGTTTTGTATGCAAAAACCAACACCAGAAAGAAAAGAGAAAATAAATGACGTAAATACTAAGAAATATTTGAAACACAGAATAGAAAATTGTTGCACTCACCTCCTTTATTAAAATTGAGGTAAAATGTGTTTATTTTAAATTTATTTTGAAATTTTGTTTTTTTTGTTTTTGTTTTTTATACATATATACATATACATATACACATACATATATATATATATATATATATATATATATATATATATTATTTAAAAAAGATCATTATGATAAAAGTACACATATGCCACACATTGCAAGTAGAGGAGTAAAGAGAAAGAAAATAAAATTTCATAATTTGTTTTTTTTTTTTTTTTTTTTTTTTTTTTTTTTAAATAAAATAAAATCCAGGTTGACATGTTGTGGTAGCACACAATGAAACATAATATGGAAGACATAGAAAAAAATTTAATTAAAAAACAATGTAAGAAACTTTGCATTTCAATCTAAAAATTTAGTTAAGCCGAATTAATTTCATATTAAATAAATTTGAAGCAACAAAAACCGAATTAAAAAAAAATAAAAATTGAAATCGTTTGTTTAGTTAGGGATAATTTAAAAAAATAAATAAATAAATAATAGAAAGTAGATTTTTTTTAAGTAATGAAGATCACACCAACCTTTGTCATAAAATCTTTGGCTCTCGACTCGAATAGGTGCTCCAACTTTTGCGTATCAATATTGGCGGCGGGCAATTCATCCCATATCGTTTTACCCACAGCCATGGGTATTAGGTCTTCTCGTACTTCCTTCCAAAATAACTTAACCTACGTTATGAATTTATTTTTCATATTTTAAATTTTATTTTATTTGTTATGCAGCAAGTTCAACGTCCGTACCGTTTTCTTATTTTTCCTAACAGTATTTAAGCTGTTCCCTTCATCGTTTATGGAACCATTCATCGAACTGTTGACGCTATTCGTTAGACTTTGACTGCCATAACCACTGTAACTAAATACAGGCGGCGGTATAACGCTACAGTTGCTGCCAATGCTGGTATTGCTTAGGGACATATTCGCATAATTCACCGAAGGCGGATATCCAAAATGTGTGGGCAGCATAGGAGGCGGTAATGTTGCTCCTGCTAAAGGCGGTGGGGGCGGTGGTACACCGTGACCATTACCGCGAGGAGCCAAAATGTCCTTTTCATCTTCGGAAGTCAAATCAGTAAAATCTAAATCACAGAGATGTAAAGGTCGTGACATATTGCGCACCAGCTCTTCCCATTGTAAATCGTTTTCAGATTTTTTAGGCTCCAACTTCTTAAGCTCCTGATCGACACTCGATGATCTAAGAGAAAACAGACATTTCTAAAAGATTTTTCGCCAAAAAAACATTTCACTTCATGGCACACGCGATTCATAATGTCAAGCCAATAAGGCTGCGATCAAGTTTAAACAATTGTTTACGTCATCAGCGTTCTGAGACATCATCATATCCATACACAGTCATATATACAGAGAAACACACACAGACACTTATAAAAAAGGATGAGATGTGAGAAGAATGAGAGATCGGAGATGGAGGCGAAAAGCAAATATGGGAATATGATGATAGACTGGCTCGCACGTTAGTGCGAAACTTTCAAAAATATATATGCTGAGCCGACAAAAAATTTTATATTATCGATGAAAACATATTTAAGTTACTCGCGTTTCTTTTCGCAATGTGCGCCTCTTCGAAATTCGGACGTGAGTTTGTCTAATCTAAGGAAATGTGATTAACAAACTTGAATATGTTTTTAACTTGATGTTCAGAGGGGTTGAACAAACAAACAAACAACCAAAAACAAATAAGAGAAAAGTGCAAATGAAATTGACTTCGAACACCATATATAAATAATAAATAGATTTATTAAAATAAATTTAAATAAATTTTTGTATTTACCCACATGATAAGTATTTTTTTTTAGTTTAGTAAGCTGCTTAGTTCATTCATATCATAAATCGAAACGGTTCTTAAATTCGCTACAGACAACTTTTTCTTCTATATTCTCCGATAATCTTTTATCTAAATGTGATTCAAGATAACTTCGAACTTGGACTTGGAATTTATTGATTGCATATACATATATATATATATATTTATATGTGTCTTTCATAATGCATTTTGGCTTTGGTCTTAACCGTAACGTTATCAAACGTCCGTTACCGTCACCCTCATAAATAATAGCGGTTGCAAATAAAAAGCAATAGATAAGAGCTGCTATAAAATACTTTGACTTTCTCGCTAAAAGCAAAGCACTATAAAGTCAAGTAATTTATCATTATTATAACCATTCAGTAAGACAATAGGTTGAAAGAATTGCACAACTGAACGCTTCGAATCAACATGGACGTAAGTTGAATTTTGCAATAATTAACAATTATTTTATTAATGATGATAATTAATTGATTTTAATATCTTCAAGTTTCATACGGCCGCGGAAAAAGCTAAAGCCTTCACCAAAACACCGCCAGATGGTGTGTTTTTGGAATTCTATGGTCTTTATAAGCAGGCGACTGTCGGCGACTGCAATATTGCAAAGCCTGGTGCATTAGATTTAAAAGGAAAAGCGAAATGGGAAGCATGGAATAGCCGTAAGGGTTTGACCCAAGATGATGCCAAAAAGGCATATGTTGCCACCTATGAGAAGTATGCTCCTCAGTATGCTTAAGATTTTTAATACGATAAACATTTTTAAATTTAACCAACTAACTACGATAACATATTCTTCAAGTACTTCATGTTCTTCAACTCGATGAGATAACATATATGTATATATATATATGCATATATATAAGAATGTTACACTAATGTTACAGAATGTTACACTAATAAAAAAAAAAAGTTTTATTTAAGGATAATATTTAGAGGGTTTTTGCTCTTGGTAAAATGTCAGTAGCTATTGTAGGCCTGAACAGGTGCGAGCAGTCACAGGCAGGTAGAAAGTCAATTACTGAAGCTGTTTTTTTTTTTTTATTTTTCGAATCCGTAAGGCTTTCTTGCAATCTTCTTTTTTCGAGTAGATTTGACACAACCTACATGAGGTACCACCGCAAGTTAAAATTTTTGTGAAAATTCCATGAAGAAGAAGTGAAGTTATTTCGTCAGATTTCGCAAATACGCAAATATTGCTACACAAAACGCCTAATGTGATAGTGTTAGTAAGACTATAGGTTGAAAAACTAACGCGAAGAGATCATTCTTCGAGGCATTTAGAGCAGCTAAGCGCCTAAAAAAGCGCCTTTTTTTTGGGAAGCGGTTTTTATCAAAACAAGGATAGCTGATAGTCGTAAATGATAGTTAACGAATTGGAAAACCTTTGCAAAAACGTGTTTTGAAAAAAACGTACAGAAAATTCACTGGAAAGAACAGAGGAAAATAAATCTTTTAAGAATTTTCAGAAAATTTAAGAAACAGTGGAAGTTCTTCCAGGTAGGTTGGCATCGAAGCGAGGACAAATCGGTCGAAGAACACGCGCACAGTAACCCGAGATAATCTCTGATTTCGAAAGCAATACAAAGGTTGAGTTGTTTCGTCACTGCCAACAACCTAAGCACAAGCAATAAAAGCTTGGGTTAAAAATGAATTTATGTCTTACGTTTTTAATTCGACAGTGTAAAAAATTATGAAAAGAAAATCTTTACATAGTTCATTAACATTTGACTCGTTAAGTGTATAGAACAGGGTACAACAAGCTCCCCGTTGAGTCAAATCCGGTAAACTACAATATGTTAATTAAAATCTTTTTAATATTTTTTGCTTTAAATAATGTCGTTGTTAGTACGTCAGCTGCCGCCCATTCTCTCTCACCAGTCCCATACACTTGACGTAGATAGTGATCTTTTATATATGGACAATCGGATTATCTATCTATCAAGTGGACTTGCCACCCAATATACGAATTGGAGCCTCGATATAATTATTTAATCTCTTTAGTGCCACCTCAGACTGCTTCTTCCAAGCTAATGAACTTCTTTTATAAATCTCTTAAGAAATCTTTGTATTTATTTTCATGGTAAAGTGTATGCAATTTATTTGTCGATGATGGTCTGTATAATATATATTACATAATGAATATCCACTACTTACTATATAAGACATTTAAAATCATAGTTTTATATAGTTTAACAGCATCTGTTAGATAATTGCACTAACTACACTAGTAAACTACATTTTTTGGAAAATTATCTCAATTTGACACAAGCTAGTGGTGGATGTAATACTCAAAGTGAAACTCAACGTTCAGTTTCTCTTCAAAAACATTCACATTTGTAGATATCTATGGCGCGCAATACACTGTCAGAAGCTGAATATAATTTATGAGCGATATTCGGAGATATTTCAATGGTATTTATTATACTATGCATAGTTCATAGTTATAATCAAGAATATGTGTGTCCAAGGATCCCATTAATTTATAATATTATTTATGTAATTTAAAATTTTTAAATTTTAAATATTGTTTATTATACCTGGACATTTCGCCTTTGTTTTTACTTTTGGCCAAGCATTCTTTGGCTTTAGTTATTAGACCTGACATATCGCCAATCATACGATTTTGTTGCTGTTTGTCTTCCTGAGTGGGACTTGTAGGTAAATTGCTTAATTTCTGTGTCAAATCCTTTACAGTGTGATCACGTTTCAGTTGCAGCAAAAGCTTCTTATCCTCGTTATCAGATTCTGTCGAGAACATACGTGAAATAGAAAAAGAATTCTTAGCAGAGTGTAAATTACATAAAGGTCGAAGAGTAAACTCCAGGACATTAACAAAAAATTGATTGATAAAAAAACCAAAAACAAAAACAAATAATTAAATAAATAAATAAAATAAATAAATTAAGTAAATAAAATAGAAAACGATGGCGAAGAACGTAAGCAGCGCAACCGATGAATGATATGATTTGATATAAAAAAAAAAAAAAAGTGGAAATTTGAATAATTTCCCGGAATATGTTAAAACGATTAGTAATTTTAGTAAAAGAGAGAAATAGAGAGAGACGGATAGAGAGAAAGAGAGAGAGAGAGAGAGAGAGACAGACTTACCAGAAATTTGTAGCGCATCAACAACCGCTGCATTATCTGAGAGAATTACCATTGTTGCTGATGGTGTAGGCGGTGTTGGTTGGTTTGTTTGGTTAAGGGTGTAAACTGTCGCTGTATGATCAGAATTTCTGTTATAGGCATAAGGTATACGTATCGCAGACAAACTCAATAAATCTGGTGGCGGTGGCGGTGGTGGTGGTGGTGGTGGTGGTGGTGGTGGCGGTGGTGGCGGTGGTGGAGGTGGTGGTGGTGCCACCATTGACATATTATTTGTTAAAGTATTGTAAGCATTTGTTTTAGGCACGTAAGGCATAGCCAATGATGAGGGAGTCGTTAGCGATGTTTTAGTATTGGAATCGTATAGAAATTCCTCTTCAGCTGCGGCATATGATAGTTTATCATTAGAAAAAGGTGTTGAAGTATTTGACGCTGTGACCGTCGTAGTATTATTGATGATCGGTATGGGATTTGTAAATTCAAAGCCAGTATTATTTAAGGAATTCTTTGGACTAAATACAGCGGATGTAGCTATTGATCTGGGATTGGAGGGCATTGCATAATTGGGTGGTGAAACCTGTACATGCTGATGTTGATGATGATGTAAATTTTGATTCTTTGGTGTTATTACAATTTTTGTTGTTGTTGTATTATTAAGTTGATTATAATAATTGTTCAATCGATTGGCATCGTTTTCATATTTTTTATAATTGTGTTCCGAGTCATGATGATTACGTGGTGGATTTTTTAAAAACAGACCATTCAGAACAGTCGCGTTACGTTCCATAAGTAAATTCTTCTTATTACTATAGGATTCGGGACTGCTTTGTAATTTGTTGTTGTTGCCGTGATGATGATGACGATGATGATAATGTTGACTATTGTTGTTGTTATTGTTATTTGATTTATCAAACGAATTATTAATAATTGATATAGTATTGTTATGGCCCAATAACTGCTTGGTAGGACTTAATAAGTTAATATGACTATTGTTGTTGCTGCCATTGCTATTATTTTGATGTTGTTGCACGATGGCATTGTTAGTACTGGCATTGGCAATTACATTATAGCTAGGATAGGTTTGTTTATGGTTATGATTATGATTATGTTTATTATTATTATTATAATTAATATTATTTTTATTATTGTTATTATTATTGTGTTCATTGATGATTGTCAATGATTCAGGCGGGCTGTCCGCATTTTTCACAGTCACAGGTATAGCCGTAACTAATTGTCCTTCAAAACAGCCGAACAATATACATAAAAATGGGGAGAGAGCGAGAGACACACACAGGCGATTGAGAGTCACAAGCACAGGTTTGCATTGGAATGATGAAGTATAAGCCAATTGATGATATATCATCAGTCAATATAAGAAAAGAAGAGAAACGTCGGAAACGACATACACAATATATCAACAAAAGATGAAATGTCGGTTAATATGTATTTACATAACAGCATACAAAAAAAAAAAGAACAATACATTAGTAATTCCTTAGGATTGAGTTAAAGATGTTTTTGTAAAAGAGAAAAAGGTATAAAAATCGTACCCAATTCTTCGCTACGTTTTTCTAAAGCGCCCATGAAACTGCTACCAGCGGCTGCTGCTGCAACGGCTTCTTGCTCTTTAAGGAAACTCTTATGTCGTTCGGCGCGTTCACGTCTCCTTCGAAGACCGGGTGTGACACCAGCGCCATCCCGTGCTATTATATATAAAAGTCATTATCCATTATTTAATTGCTAATCATTTGCTTTTCAGTGTCATTCAATTTATCGAACTTACGCTTTTTATCAGCAAAGACGACATCATTGGAATTTGTTGAACTTGAACTATCCTCATCCAAAGCGGGCTGCCCGGACGTTAAACGCAAAGGCGCTGGTATTGCTTTGTTTGTACCGACACAAGTACCGCTGCCTATGCTAGTACCAGTACTATGACGTCGAGATTTACGACGTTCCGCGGTATCAGTGGAATTACGAAATCTTTGAGTTTTTCGCAACGTATTATCTGGCAAACGTGTTCCATCCGTTTCACCATCTTCAAATCTATTTAAATGCATACAATGAGAACAAATTTTCGTACATTACCGCAATAAAAAATCTTACTTCAATACTGCTTCGTAAAGTTGCAATTGATTGATTAAATCCAAATCGGTATCCGGCTTAGACATGTAGTATTGTATCACAGATTCCATACCTTGCTGTTCCAGTAGATCACTCTCATCGTAAAAACTATCTTGATCGTTGAGACCCTCAAGGGTCTTGTTGATCAACGAAGCGGCATAAATAACTAATTCGGCATCAGCGTTATCGTAATCTTTCAAAAGTCTTAAAATTCAATAGAACCATTGTTAAAACGCTGAACTTCAAATTTAAAAGAAAATTAATTTCAATTTTAATTCAAAGAGATATCAAAGCGGGACCTGAAGCGAGTCTTTAGATGCTTAGGCTATCACTTCTATATAAAACTCTTGCACGTTAGATCCTGGACGTAACGTATTCGCGTTTCGCGATAAAACATATAAGAACCCTATAGTGTGGCACGGTCCATCATGAAATGCCCTATACCACCCCTCAGTCATTCGTTATTCGACTTGGCAAAATAAGAATTTATATGGAAATTAATCGGAGAAGTGGTTCGAACTCAACCGCTAACAATAGCGTTCGTCCTTGTGCTAAAATATTGCAGGAGTGTAACAAATTTCGCCAAAGTATCTCAAAAAACACACAGGAAAGCAAAACAGACAGACAAGATTCTTAGATCAATGCATAAGGTGACTCCGAATCGATCGGTATACTAAAACAGATGAGTCTATCTTAAATCCTTTTTGGTGTTCCATACATCCGCGCAAAACTTAACATATCCTTGTAGCACAAGTGATGTATGTTATTAAAACGAAGCACAGAAAATTACTTTGTTTTTTTTTTCTAAGTATAATTTTGAGGCCATAACTAGTAAAAAGCAAGCAGACGTATGTAAGTCAATACAACTTTTTACGAGAATGTTAGGCCAGGTTTGCGTTAAGTATGGCTATGCTTTACATATATTGATCAAATCTAATGAACATCCTATCATAGATGTAAGAAGATGGAATGAAACAAATGGATTTTGCATATATTGAATAAATGCAAAGCATACCTACCTCATAATATTTGACCATGGCAACGTGCCCCGCTGCTTATCGACTATTTGTATTGCATTAACCAAGATGTGACAGTTGGATTCGGCATATTCAACAAACACTAGCAACAATTTCAAGGCTGTCTTAACCACCGAACGATAATTTGATGCGATTAATGAATATAACCATTGCATAGTCGGCTCATGTTTCATAACACCATTCATACCATCCACGTACAACATCACCTATAATTTACATTGATGTTAAGCATCATTTAAGTCAAAAAAACAAAAAAAAAAGGAAAAAAAAAAAAACAAACGGAAAATAAAATTTTTAAGGTACACACACATTAATTTAATAATAAAAAAAAAAAAAAACACATTGTATTTTTTATATGTATGTAGGCATGCATTCGATAAATATCTACCATTTTTAATAACAGCGTTTTTATGTAACTTTAGAGAAAATTTAAATAACGCCAATTATTCTTGTTTGCTAATAAATGTGCAAAAAAAACGTTTGCTTTTGTGTTTATTTATTTTCTTATTTTTGTATTTCTTAGGACATGCAATCGCTGTTCTTTTGCCCTATGCAATATGTTCTCAACTGTTTAACATACCTGACCCAAGGCACGCAATATATAATTTTGATAGTTTTGATCAGCACCATTACCGACACGCACCAAACAATTCAGGCCACCTAATGCCACGAAAGCATGCACCAGATCTTTATCTTCTTGAAAGACTTGCTTTAGCGAGAACAAGGCTCTACGAAGATTACTACCTTCAGCAGAGAGTAGTTTTTCTAAAAATAAAGCAAACACAAATTTGAGCAAAAAGAATTTTAAAAAACTACAATAAATAAAGTTTTTTTTTGTTTTTATAAGAAACTATATTACTAGAAACTATATACGAAGTAAAATAGTTCTTATAAATTTAAACTTTAATCAAATTTAAAAAAATTGTAAAAAAATGTAGGAACATTAAAAGTCGGGCAGGGCTAAATTAGACTTACCCTATACCACTCTGCTTAGTACAATTATTGACTCACATTTTAGTAATAATACACCAAAAATTATAAATTATTTCTACATCACTTGTGGTGTAGGGTATATTAAGTTTGTGCGGCCGTATCTAACACCTAGAAGGGCTTAAGATAGATCCACCTTTTAGTAGATCGAACAATTCACAATCATTTTCTAAATCGATCTAAGCCTGTCTGTTCGTCCATCTGTCCGTCCGTCTTTGCGTCTGATGTCTACCCACGAAATCTTTTGTTCAAGCTAAAGGTTGCAATTTTTCAGATATTTCAATGAAATTTTCGTCACAGTGACGTGCTTTGACCCAAGGACGAACGCTATTCAAAATAGCTTCGATCGGTCCATTTTTTCGATCATTTCTCATATAACATCCGGTTTTGAAATGTCGTTATATGCAATTTTCAAAATTTATCGGCAAAACCCGCTCTGTAATAGTATTTGGACCTTCGACATTGGCATTGAAAATTTGATTTGGTTGAGACAATTTTTTCAGCCCTCTTTTCTTTATACAATGTAAAAAGGTATAATTTGTAATATATCATATTGACGTGGAAATCAACCTTACCCTCACTTTGGACCTATCTATCTATTGTTTAGAGATACTACCGCATATAAGGCTTCCATTGAAAGCGTGCCTGTGCGCGAAAATAATTTTAAACTTTTTTGGTATATCATAATATCATCGAAACGAGCGGATACCTGTATTAGATGAAGTCGTATAGGGTATCTAATTAATAGTCGGCTTTGCTCGATTGTAATATTCTTACTTGTTGATACCATAGCTATTCGATAGGCCTCAACTGAAATCAATTAATGTAAACCTAACTGTGAATTACTGAACGATTTTAGTTCCTTTAAAAAACAATAGTATATGTATATATAAACATTTATCGGATCGATTAAACAACATTAAATGTATAGTTGTCAATTTTCACTTTTTAGCTAGTTCAGCACAATTTAAAGTGAAATCGCAGACAATCACTTGTTGAACTTTTGTAATTTTGCTAATATCTACGAGTATCTATGTTCTTGTGTGTATACCTGTGTATACATATTATGCATAACGCATATTTCTTTTTTGTTTTTCTTAAGACTTTCTCATATCAATCTATTGTTTTTCATTTCTTTTAATTTATAATCTTAAGATCTTTACTTGTGGCTTAAATCAGCATTTACTGTACGTGATATTTGCAAAATAGGTAAACATTACGATTTGATCCTAAAATTATGCAATTTTACGAAATTATATTCAAGTATATGTATAGTTAACAACAACGACAACTTACCAATAATTGCATGCACTCTGACACTTAGTTGGGTGCGCACAACCATAGAATTTTTGCGACTGAAAAATAGTCAAAAATCAATGAATAAAAAGGAAATTATTATCAAAATAATTTTGCAAACATACAGACAATTATACTAAATTACATATGTACACGCATATAAAGTAAATTCAATATATTGATGACTAAACCCAAATTGTTTACCGAAAGCATATTAAGTATATGCAATTGTATGCAACACCTAGAAAGACCCCCAGATAGACGCAGCGTTTATTAATTAAAATCAAACGAGGCGAGGAATCTCGACTAGCAAGTCAATGGTCGTGGGTTCGAATCTCAAGTGCGGTAGAGTTTTTAATAAAAGCCGATAGCCTTAGATGCTAGTGCTTTTAAGAGTTTAGTCTTAGAATTTATTTCTCTGGCGAAATTAATAATAATAATAAAATCAATTCAAGATACTGTCTCATTTCTGTACGAATTCCAAGTATGAATACGTTTCCGCCATTTGTTTTTTTTGGTAAAATTGAACAAATGCTATTAAAAAAATGGCACGAGATATTTAATTTAAATGACTGTTTATCGCTGAGAATTACATCTCCGGTCTCTTAGGCAGAATACGAATTACATGCAATGTACGAGTAACAGGCCTGTTCAAAAAGACAATAACTCAACGATTGAAATGAGTGTTAATCGGAAGGAGTAATGCCTGCTGACAAGAACGGAAATAGTAACACCTTCGAGGTTCGAGGTGCTGCTAATGTTCCCGACGCAAGTTTTGTAGTACGGCGCCGAATTTCGTTGCGGTGAACATTCACGATATCATGAGCTTCGGCATATCACATTAATTTTCATCAGTTACTCTTATTATAGCATTCTCTAATAACGATTTCGCTTATTTGGAATATGAACCATAATATATCTCATCGACAACAACAACAACAAGCAACAAAATAAATCGCCAGCTTATTCTTTAAAGGCACCATAGAAATTCTGTTACAAAAAGTCAAATTTTTCGTCTGCATCAACTCACCCAACCCTTCGCCTCTCTGTTTCTATTTATTTCTTCTCTAAATACGTTCAAAGAAAATGTGTTGCAAAATAATGACGCATAAGTGTATATCATCTGACGAACCGATCGATGTTGTCTAATCTCTGCTATATATGCTGTGAAATATTTTTTTTGTATCGTTTTTAGTGCATTTTCCCTACTTCCTTACTTTAGTAATAATCGCTTAAGTAATATCTTTAATATTACATACGTACATATATATATTATGTTAAAAAGATTATCGAATGCATATATTTCCTAAACATTATAAATATACGCTATATATATATATATACATAAATTTAAGTCTTGCTTAAAAAGGCATATTATATAATGTCTGTTGCGGTTGTTAATTTTTAATTATGTCATAATTAACGATTTCTCTTTTTCATATTTAATGCATTTAATCAATAACGAAGCAAATTATTGTATCATATTTCTTGTCATTATTACAACTAATTGACAAAAACCTGTAAAATTACATATACAACAATGGACGCATAGGCGGTACAAACTAAAATCATGATTGTATTACAAATTTTTAATCTAAAAAATTAAAGGTTGTTTTTAGGCCTTTTTGACATTAAAGATTTACGGCTATCTATTAGCTGATTAATGACCAACGTTTCCCGTGACACAATATTCAAAGTTTCGAATTTTCGGAGGGCAGATCGGGCAAAATATGCTCAAAAATGACTTTTGAAAATGAATTTTAGGCATTACTAGTAGGAAACGTGCCACGAGATTATTAAAAAGATGAGTCGCAGGTGTAAAGCCGTAATAAACAATTCGCAACATACATACATTTCGAAATATCGAATGACTAATAGAAACTATTAATATTGCTTACTATTATTATTTAATTTATTTAGTTTTTTTTTTCTTTCATTTCTATTGCTTTTGTTTTATGAATACCTTATGTTCTTTTCTTTTGGTTTTTTTGTTTTTTTTTGTTTAGCTCAATTTTTACATATTTTTAATACGACCTTTAACTACATTTTTAAGTAAAAGTACATTTTTTTAGATTCTATTTATAAATCTCCTAAAATCATTCGCTTTCGTTCGGCCAGTGAAGTGTGCGCTATTTATGCGTCCACGGCTGTATATACGTAGATTCGTGAAACGATAATTTTTTACAAAATCTTGTCTCATAACCGATTGTCAACTTTGAAGTAAAAGCAACTCGGATCGAATGATATTTTGGTTGTGAAAAAAAAGAGTGAATCTTCCCTTTACGATCGAAACTAACAGAAACCCTCAAGTGGTTAGAAGAACACCAAAAGTTTTCGGGAATATACTTTTGTAAATTTATTGAGAAATTTTGAAAATATTAACGTGAAAAAAGTGATTTAACATCCGTAACAATGCAAAGAACAGTCTGCCGGCTTAAGTTAAATGAATGAAATTCAACTGCCACTAACTGTCCTCATTAATTGTCAGTAAATATTAAAAAAAAAAAAAAAAAAAAAAAAAAAAAGTAAAAGTGATATTCAGTAATGTCCTTAAGTGCTTAACACTAAAAGTGCAGCATAACTTATAAGATCACAATGGCTGAGATTTCTATTTCAAAGGATGACGTTGCCAGCATTTTGTTAATGCAAGTTAGGCATTAAAGCGATATTAATAAAGGCGGATAGGCCTTTAAGAACGATATGTATCGTGCAATGAGGTAATTGCGCGTACATTTGAGATAACGGCTGAAAAGAATTCTTTTGCAAGACATATTAATTTTCCTAGTGCTGCCATCATAATTGCAACGATATGTTACAATATCGCTCTATATATATTTATATATATATATATATGTGTAGTTTAATTACCTAGAATGAAGACCTTCGATTTCTTCGACTTGTTCGGCCAGAGATGATTCCAAGTCCAAGTAGGCTCCATAATCACCATCTTTATAGACTTGTAGAGCGGCATCATCGATCTATGACAAGAAAAAAAATTAAGTTTTATTCATATATTATTTTTTGATAAATATTAATTGCATACTACTAATACTACTACTAGTACTACTACTACTACTACGTAATTATCTTTACTTTTCTTTTATATTAGTATAATTCATTGATCATGAAAGAAGTGCAAAATTTTGTGTTATGACGAATGCATACGTCATAATCCGTACATACGTCCTTGTCGAATTGCCTCGATCAAATTTTATCATTATGAATGCGTATTTGTCATAAAAATACATTTTAAAATGTGTGTGTGTGTGTGTGTGTGTGTGTGTGTGTGTGTGCGTGCGTGTGTGTGTGGCATTTGGACAATTTATTTCATTACAAGTCAAGCTCATATTACACATACCCTGTGCTGGAGAGTATACACGTCATCGCCAAATTTAAATATGCATTTTCCAAAAAGCCCGACACGGTAACTAAATTTATTTGATTTCGTATGTCACTTGGACTAGACTTGAACTAAAATTAATAACTTAGCTTTCAGTTACTTCTTCTTATTCGAAATGATTGTGTTTCAAAAAAAAAAAAAAAAAAAAAATAGATACATTGCCGTATTTCAGTCATTATTTTATGGTTATGCGTTCCTTAGCCAGCTACACAGCCATTGTTAAAGAAAAATTTATTAAATTTGAATTGTCTTCAAATTCTTCTTCTTTTCTATAATTTACACATAAATATATTCACCTGTCCAATTGTATTAATGTATGTAATATTTTATTTATGTAATTGTTGCGAATATATTTTCTTATGTGATCACTTCAATTTAATGAATTCTCTTCATGGCAATGCCTATTGCTTAACAAATATGTAAGTTTATAAATAAACAGGTGTGTGATAAAATTTATAAATTCGCAAAATTAGGGACAAGCGGGCGATAGAAGTAAGTAGAAATGTGCAGAAGGGGAAAGACGAAGAGATAAGAAACTTTTATACTAGAAAAAAAGGTGCGGATGGTAAAAGTGTCTCTCACAAATGGTTAGGCCCCGGGCGTTTAGTGCTTTATTATACACCATGCACACTATCGGTGGTATAGAGCATATTAACTTTATGCGGATGTATGTAACAGTTATAAGAACTTAAAATATATCCATCTTTTAACATTTTGGATAGCTTTGGAGTCATATTCTGAATTGATTTAAGCTCTTCCGTCCATCTGCCTATCTGATGTTTGATAGCAATTTTTAACATACATTGCGGAAATTTGGTGTGCTGACATAGTTTGGTCCAAGGACGAACCTTATCGGAATTGGTTTACCTCAGACGTTACGTTTACGTTCACCCCGCTTTATATAACGAAAAGATTGTTATATGAAAAACATTCACAATTATTGAAATAAAATCTCTTAACAAAAATTTGCTGGGTACTACGATTTTGACATTGATTAAATTGAGATGAAAAATTTGCATAGAATTGGACTATATTTTAAGCATCCTATTATACAAGGTATGAAAATATTAAACTGTAATTCGTAATATTTTGAAAGCAAAAATAAAATAAAATAAATGCAGAATTGCGATTGTAGCGTATGTAATGATTAGCCTTCCCCATCTATAATACTTTTACTTGTTTTTGTGTCAGTTTTACAATCAATTCCATAACACGCTCTGTACACATAAATCGGCAAAACAAGAAACAATAAAAAGATAACGACAAATTTTCTAGATGACGAATAGTTTTTTTTTTTTGTTTTATAAATCAAAAAATAAAATGCTTTAATTATATAAGTTCTCTTCTAAATTTATGCTATATGTTCTTAATTAGAATATGAAAGAACATACATATATACGAACGACTAAAGAATAAAGTCGTTTGAACGAAATGTTGACAAATAAATTAAAACTAAAAAATAAAAAAAAAAAACATTTCTTATTTTTTAATTTATTACACAAAGAGTTAAAATTTTCACATTACTTCGCGTGTTTATATATATATATATTTATATATATATATACATTTGAAAGGAATTTAGCTTTCTCTACATTCTCCACTTCTTTCAAGCAAAGTGTCTCCTATTAGTCTATCCGCAAGTGTGTGAATTAATAAAATACTCATTCTTTCGCTCTTTCTACCCGGATTATATATATCAACGCTTGAAAAAGCGAATTTCACATAATGCCGCAACTATATATAGAGGCATGCACATATTTTCAACTACCTGGCTAACTGATTGTCTGACTGACTGAACGTTTGCTTGGGAAATTTTGCTTTTACTGTCATACAATTTTCCAGTAATTGTTCTTGTTTTCAACTTAATATTGACCATAATTTTCTGCACTTAAACATACATTAAATACTTTCTATTTTTTTTTTTTTTTTTTTTTTTTTTTTTTTTGTTTTATTCGCCTTTTTAACTATCGTTTAACTTTTGCTTTAAATGAACTTAATCTCTTCCATAACCGAAAACAATAAAAAAGAAAATTAAAGAATTTATGAGCGAACTATATCTACATATACAGACAAAAATGTTGACATTAACAATAAAATAATGGTAATGAAGATTCTACCATCATTTTGGTACTTCTAACCGCCATATACTCGTAATCATTATCAATCTCATCATCATTGACCGTAATTTGCAATTTTATACGAAGAAAAACAAAAAGTAGGTTGACTGACTGTTATCGCTGCTATTGTTGTTGTTTCTTTTAATGTTACCTACCATATTCCCTCACCGCAGTCGTTCATTTCAATTTAGCATCTGTCGTTCCAAGTTTTTAAAAAGTAAAAATAAAAAACTACAACACCACCACGACACACACACACACACACACACACAAACACACATACACTGGTAACAAAGCTAAAGAACAAGTGACCAAGATCAGCAATTATATTATATTATAATATAATAACAACAACAACAACAACAACAACAACAACAAACAGGAGAAGAACCAGAAAAGAGAATCGTTACACTCATTTCACCTGTCAATCAAGCTGTGAACTCTTGCTTGCACTTTCACGCCAACGAAGTTCGAGTTCGTTTTGTTTCCTCATGAACGTATCCCTATTGCTGGCAAATGACCGTCGTGATGCCACTAATCGCTCACAATAGAGCCAGGGAAAAGCTTTCCAATTAAGACGACGACCACACGACCAATTCACATGCCAGTCATTTTGCGAAACTTTTAAAATTAATAACCGAAAGAAAAGGACTGCGTTTCGCTCAAAAGATCGTCCCAAAAAATGGAACCTGCACGTATTACTTCTCATGCTCGTCATCGGCATAAGAAATTGATCTGCCGAATCGGGAAAAAAGACATATCAGCGAGCTCATATTGACCAACATCAAATTTTATCTCAACTGTCCTTACCCATCTCTCTCTATGCAATTTTTCAACAAAATTAAAAAAAATTGTTCATAACTATATTTATTTATGGCAGGCCGTAGAATAACAATATGCTGAAAATGTATTTTTTATTAATAACACATAACTTGTGGGATTTACAAATAGGAAATTTCATTGCAAAAAATAGAAGAGCCGTTCAGAGATGGAGTTAAAAAAGTGCTTCAAATAAGCCCATTGATAAAGCTATTTATCGATGGAGCTGATGGATGCTCTTCACTTTATGCTGCGGTATAAACTATCTCGCTAAACTTTTAAGAATATTATTTTTTTGATTGTTCAATAGATCGAAACTGATGCGGCAAAAAAACACCATTTGGGAGAGAGGTTCAGTTGTCTGTGGAAATTGACGCTACTCAAAACCGTAAAAAATCAAATCGCTGGCCATGTGAACCGTCAACATTGGCAGTTGAGTCCAATGGTGTCACAATTTGAAGGAGTTGGTCCAATCGAATGTCATCAAAAGTAACTGATAAAAATGAGGCAATCATGCGCCAAAAGAGATAACACTACGAGACTCGTCGATGCATTATGCAGCTTTTGAGTGGCATTTAATTCAATCCATGACATACGGGCAAGCCGAGCTGGAGTGTTTCCGTTCAAGCTGTTCTTTCGTAACGATATTCATACCCCTTCAGAAAGGTAGGAAAATTAATTGCGAGCACATGCCATATTTACCGAATGTTTTCATTATAATAAACGTTTCGTTTTACTAAAGAATGTCTTTCAAAACTGAAGCACTTGACTTAAATGGGACGGCAGCAAGCAACATCGTCTATAATATATATAGAAACATTTTGAAAAATGTGAACCAACAAAGACCTTTACCTAGCTACTTTAATCCAGGTCTGCATAGGCTGTAATATTTACAAAGCATCCTGCTATGGTTCGCGAGAAGTCTAGTCCGTCCAAATAAGAATATTTAAGAGATGTTCATGTCAAGACCACAGGGAGATGCTAGAATAAGAGAGGCAGAGACATGAAGAGAATGACAGAGAACGAAGTGAGGATACGAAGAGGCGAAAAGGCGGAAAGCTGGAAAGGCGAAATGGCGCAGAAGTGAAGGAGCGTAGAGATTAATTGATTAATTAAATAATATATAAAAGTTTAGCAAAAAGTTATACACAATTCTATAGTAATATTTTGACACCGAACACGTAATCTCTTCGAAGCAAAAAGACTAGGCGAAGGCTACCAAAAAATCCCTGCATGGTATGCCTGCTGCCATACGGCATATGTATGCATTCGCGTAAGTTACACCGTCGAGGAACTTCTTCATATATGAAAGTTACGTATGTTAATAAGAAATTTGCAATGCGGAGAATCAATATGCAATCTGTAGTGGAAGTTATTGTGTAGTGAGTATGTGTGTAAAATAGGATAGGTTGAGAAATTTATTATTTTTATTATCGAAAGACCAACACAAAGAGAATAAGAATAAGAAGAATTTGCCATGGTACGCAGCAATCAACAAATGGACGAAAAAATAAATATTAAAAAAAAGGAATGTTGGCCTACCATGGGTACAACGAAAATATATTATTTGCGTAAATGACGTATTACATTATACACGAGTTTAGCGTCTGCTGTATATGCATGTATGCATGCCAGCAAACAC